TTGAATCTGAAAATATCTTTTTCTTCACTGAGAAAATCGACTTTTACAGAGCACGTCTCCAAGACGACCAAGTCCTGTTACACTATTTTTGCCAGTTTTCCTTCAAAGTCACTTCTGATAACATAGAATGGGTTAGAAATGATGGAGAATCTGCTGATGATAGTGTGGAGATCTTCACAGGGTTTCCAAAGGGTCTGTGATGGTTTTTTAGAGATTTTGCTGATTCTAACTCCCTTCAGCTAACTCCCCCCTACGAAAATAGTGTAACAGGACTTGACCGTCGATAGTAAAAGTCGATTTTCTCAATGAAGAAAAAGATTTTTTCGAAAAAACTCTTTATTAGTTTGAAGCCTGGCCTATGGCGAATCCAACCATGTAAAAGTTTTGGCACTAGCTCCTTTGGGAAAGCTTGAATTAGGGCCGCAAAGTTTGACGCACGCTTTCAACACGTACCAGTTTTAGACACCGGGAAAAATCCATTTTCGGTCCTAGTAGTCTGAAAGTTCTAGATTCAGTTTTCAGCACTGAATCTGAAACATTTAACCTCAAAACTCGAAAACGAAATCCGGAAAACCTAGGGTCACTTTTTTGAAAACGTAGATTTTAAGATTTTTGACATGCTCCAAGTATTTTGAGGATATATCAGCGAGGAAACGGTTTTGGAAGATGGGGACGTGATATTTGTGATCCTCATTCAATTCTCTATGGAATGATGTATAAACGAGCGAAATCTAAGTTCCGCTGGAACTCTGCTTTTCATTCATCTTACTTATAATATATTTTCCGTATGTTGATATCACGCAGATATCCCCGAGAATATCCAGTTTGTCTAGTCTTGAACATAGAGTGAAGACTTATTTACTTAATATAGGCGTCTGTTTTCTGTTTTTTTTCTTGTTCTGGTTAGCTCTAAGGGAGGAAGCGTACGCCCTTTCGTCCTCACGTAGATCTGCCAAGTGGCGGATCTTTGAACATTACAGTGCTGTATAGAGTGATCAGTAATTCTTCGAACAAATTCAAAGTTATTCTCACAGGTGATGAGTCTTAGAGATTTCTATGCTGAACAAGACATATTTAACGACATTCCGAGTCTCATTGTTACGTTGGAAGGGCCTCAGAAAACTTTCTAGGTTTCTACTGGTTTTTGCGCAGTATGCGCCATTAGCGAACAGCACACGTAATCTTTACATATATACAACAGGCTCGTGGTCTTGATTTCTTTTTAACAGGAGAAAAACAGGTCCTGACCAGGAGAACAGGCAAAGACTTTCTTACTTACAGGTATTTGACCAGACAAACTGGACATCCTCTAGTGCAGACACATGCGATCTTAAGACACTCTGCATATTTCAAATAAGATGTTCGACATCCACTACGGTGTTCTCCTCCCTTTTTTTTAAGTCGCTCTACACACGACCAGTACAACACTATACACACATTTTAAGACGTTCTCGCTAGGAGAGATGGGGTAAAAATTTGCCATTTTCATAGGGTTTGGAGTATATAACTGTATGTCCTCAGCGTTCGGACCAGTTAGAGGAGCTACACCAAAATCTTGTAAGAAAGTTCCAAAAATCACAATATTCCACACGAATTTATAAGAATCTCGTCTCAAGATCTCATTACCCTCGAGGAGAACCGCTTTCAACTGATTAACCGTTTTTGATATCTAAACACACATTCCAATTTTTTAGTTTGTGTAACATAGGCGTCGTGTGTTTAGATGGTCGAAGCCAAGTGAGTAAGAAACGCGTCTGTGGACTAGTCCGAAAGATAGCTGGGACTCGTTACAAATTGGTACAGAGACTAGTCCACTGAGAGGGACGGACAGACTAGTCAATGCGTCCGTTCGGCACCCTCATCTGGAACGGTATATAAGTTGGAGGACTTGTCTAGAACGAACGTTTATACCATCCATTCAAAACGAGTCTATGACACTTGGTCGGATTCTTATTTTCATCTCTCTTTTTTAATATATTTAGAGAGTCTAAGATATTATGTTTTCGACTTTTATAAGAACAATCTATCTTCCTTCAATCAACGTTTTAGCAAAGAATACTAACTACTTGTGACCTGGAGTATTATTTTATATTTTTTATAAACACACATAATTGCGTACAAAATTGCACATACGGAAAAGTCGTTTAAAAAGTGAAAATAAAAACATGAAGTAAAATCATTTAAAACAGCGACTCTAAAAGTTAGTTATACATGTGAAAAGAAAAATCATATGATACATTTATTTGAAAGACAAAATACCCATATTACATACAAAACAAAAAAGAATGAGAATCATACATCGACCGTTTGGTCCGGTACTACAGTTGCTTCTGATACGATTAATGCACTAGAAGCAATCTGTTCGCTAGGCAAAGTCAAATCGTTTGCACTAGTGGTCGTAGTAATGGTGGTAGTAGTGGTAGTGGTTGTGGTGGTAGTAGTAATAATAGTAGTCGTTGTTTCAGCTTGAGATGATGATGAGACTGGAATTAGTCTTGTCTCGTTAACAGCATCACGATCGATATGAAATATATGTACAAGTTGTGCTTCAATAATAGGTAGTTCATAATGATGGAAAAAGTACAACATCGAATGAATGATAAAGAGACATGAGACTGTTAGTGCAAGTCCACTGTACTGACCATTGAATCGATAATGATAGGCATAAAACGCAAAATGATATAAATAAAAGAACCTTTGAAAAAAGAAAGATAATAAAACGAAATATATAGTTAGATTTCATTTCTACTCACCTGACCCAATGTCGTTTACTAATTGTTGTATGACAACATATTGTATCGTACTGATCGGCAATCCAAACAATAAGTATAATATAAAATGCTGTTGAGGCGTCGTTAAAAAATTCGGACATTATTGCCTCTATTCCTAGAGTAAGATAATAGCTGTATAGAACACAAATGAATATCAGATTCGTGATCAACATCAAGAATTACTCTAGAAAAACTAGTTTTAATTAGAAAAGTTTTTAATCACTTGGAACGTTTTTAAAATTTCGCCTGTTTTTTTTTACTGTAAGGAAATGGACGCTTATATCTCAATTTCAAGAAAAAACCACACTATCATCTAATCCACTATTTTTAGATAGCGTAAGTGAGGTAAACAAAAGGGATAGAACATGCTTAGAATGTATCCATTTCTCAAGTAGTGTGCCTATATTCTGATTTAGGATTATTATCCCCTTTCACCACTTACCAATTAATGCTAAAATAACTGTTAATAAAGGGGCAGCTGGAAAGACAATTGTTGTATTATGTTCAATCATACGTAATAAATCGACTAAAAAAACGTGTATCAAATCGAAATGATATTATCACTGTTATTCATTTTATTCACACTTGCCAATAAAAAGAAATATTTGAAAATGGGAATAGCGTAATAACATTGAAATGGAAATTGTCTGAAAAAAAAGTAAAACGCAAAAATATATACTTGACGACGATAAAGTCTATTTTCAATATTTACTCACAAATACAACCATAATACATAGAGCGATGATGTATGTAAACCATCTACGATTTTGCCATGCAGGAACAAAGCGAAAATGTTCACCTAGATAATAATGGGATACATGTAATTCAAAAATTGATTTTAATGTGTTATCAAGCAATGTATACCTGTTATGACATTGCGAACATATCCTAAAAGCAATTATTAAAAATGTTTATGTTCCACCTAGCCAATTTTAAATTTTTTTTTTCTACCTTTATGTGTTTCTTTTTCTGCCAATTGTTTTATACTTGACATGAGAATTTCATTGTAACCGAGAAATTGATCAAGCATAAATTTACTGATACCATCACCAAAACACGAATTATTTTTTGTATCTAATAATTTGAAGTAAAATCATTAAAAAAATTATTTATCCCTGTCTATATGTAGTGTTTATCAATGTTTATACCTAAAATAACAAGCATAACACTAATATTCAATCTCTCTCGTATTTCTGGACTTAAACGAAGTAAACCGTATTCTAATGAATACTCTAATATATGTTGTTCTTCCACTAAATAAATAAAACATGTATATACACAGTTATGCTCAAAACAGAATCAATTTTACTTACGCAACATATGTTTGAGTCGATGGATATCAAAAAAGTAGGAGAGAAAAGATTCGAAAAATGTTAGTGTTTCACCATCTTGTAAATTGGTTAATGTCGCTTTTGATGTTGAATTGATAGTTGTAGTAACTTCGTCAGATAAATTGCTCTCGTTCGTATATTTTTTTTCATCAAATGTTAAATTAAACAATGCTTGTTCCATTTCATCTATCTGTTGACGTTGTGAGTGTTGTTGCTCTTCTTCGTCGTCTTCAGTGTAAACTTTTTCCTTGTAAGATAGAATATGTTTGTATGTGTCATTCAACGTGGTATGTGATGAATTGTCGAATAGTTGCTCGTCTATATCGACTTTTTCATTCTCCGATGGTCTTATGGTTGTTTCTGTAGGCTAGAAAATAAATTAGTATAAATTTACAACAGTTCGAAATGAAATACTCTAAAACATTTTACTCTAGGAAAACCACTCATTCTGACATAAGTTTAGATTCAGAAGCGTCTAGTTGAAAAAAATAACAAATAATACTCGAATCTGATTACTTCATTTGGTTTTGAATAGTAAGACTGATCGTTATCCAACGATGTTGCTGCTAATAATGATGTTTTATGGAATTCTTTGTTATAAGATTTCTGTAAATCATAATTTAATGGCAGATTTTCCAATAACTCCACACGCAAAACACCAAATCTTGGCCAAGTGTTTTGAATATGTTGTAAACAAGTGACTGGTTTATTATTTAAAATAGTGTGCAAATAAATTAATAACAGCAACGACACAAAGGCCTAAATATTGATAGAAAACAGTGTGAATGAATGCAACTGAATTGATAAAGTCATTTTACCATAAGAATAAAAACGAATTCAATTAATCTACGAATATATTTCGAAATAGAACGTGCATAAAGTACAGCTATTCTATAAAATAAGGCTTGAAATAATCGTTCCATCGTGTCACCATCTTGATTTCCTGCTCGTTGCCTTGGACGTGGAACTTGTTGTTGTTGTTCGCTTTGATTCGTCACACCTGTTTGATGTTGTTGTTCAGTTTGTATATTTGTAATGTTTGTTGAAGACTCTGTTTGTGGTAATTCAGAAGCTGATGCCGCATTACTACTTGACTCATCGTTATTCGACGAAGTGACATTCGACATCAAGTTTCTTACATTAATAATGTAAAGATAGAATAAAGCTTATATCAAAAAGAGAACACAAAAAACATACCAGAAAAATTCCTAGTGGTAACATCGAGTCGACTCCACAACTTCAATCGGGTACAGACATATGAACTTAGTTTTGCAGTTTACTACAAAGCTAAGTTCATATGTTCGAATCTCTATTCGTACAAAATTGATTTTGTCTATAGTTTTTCGATAGTTTTAGTTCAATATACGATAACAGAATAGTTTTCCGCTTGTATTCTGACAGAATAAAGCTTATATCAAAGATAAAATGCGTTGTGTGTAACTAAGATGAAAAATCTAACAAACGAAAAGTACACTACATTAAAAATTAAAAAAATGCTTGATAAAAAGGCTAAAACTGATCTATTGATATCAGCATAGTATACGATACGACAGCTTTTTCAAAAATAAAATATTATATGATTATTTATTTGTTTTCAAAACGTTCACACTTAAAACTGAATAGAAATTCCAGAACATTATCTGAATGAAATAATTTTTCGCGGTATCATATATTAATTTCTAAATTAGCGAGCAGTGATAAATCAAAGATGCTTTCAGCTAAACTTGTGTGCATTTTTAAGCGCTAATCGTTTCTTAAATATCCTTCGACCGCGACAGTTTGTAGAATTAATCCCATGAAAACAGACAATGTTTACAGAGGAAGTTCAAAACTACAGTTGTCCACAAATTAGCTTCTTCATCTTCAGTGGATGTCTGATTCTTTGAAATAGTAAATGACATTCTTCTGTTCAATCCAAGTGTGGGAAAGCTGCCGGTCACATCCCAAAACTGACGGGTTGTTAGAAATCCTTTAAAAGTGCTTCAAAGTCTGTTGGAAGCAGATTTAGTTTTACACGTTTGCTTCATGTAGAACGATGCTTTTCAAGTGTTCCTCGAAAGTTTCAGTTCAATTGGATAAGAACTGAGCGACTTGACGTAATCTCATTGGAAGGCAGATAGCATCTAAAAACCGGCTGTTTTGTTGATCTTCGCTTATCGACCTTGATTCAACTCCAAGAAGAGAATAAATTATGCCAAGCGATTAACACTGGGCGTATATTTATGAATTCATGATTTTAGCCCATATGCTCGGTCGGGACCCGTAGTTGACTCAAAAACTTGCTTTCCGAAGTCTTAGTAAGTCAAAGTTAGCACATTCATGGAAGGTCAAAAAACTCTGGAAATTTCAGAGTTTATAAAGTAGACATTGGATTACAATATGGTTAAATTGAAATTGAGAATACATCTGATCAAAGGAACTAGTCAATGGTTTTTCAGAAACCTCCTGGAAAAACCCTTAAAAACTTTTTAAACATTTTGATTCTCAGATAGATAGATGCCCCCAATCATCCTCTTTCTAACAGTAAAAACCCGAACTCGATAACTATCAACGTTATTTCTGAGTTATTCGACAAATAATCGAGTGCATTCTATTTTGAAATGGACAGTAGTAACTCTTTTGGCATCTTTTAACCATAAGAGCAATCAGAAGAAAAAGAATAGTTACATATTCTGAAACAAAGAAACAAAATAGCATCTCAAAAGTAAACATTGAGACTCAAAATAAACATGAAAAAAAGAAACTGTCGTCAAAAAAGTTTCTACTTAGGCGAAAAACAAAATAATAGCAAAAAGTTTATTCATCCTTACCAAGCAGAATTGTGTACTGTTCTACGCAAAATGGTCATTAGTGCCACCTTTGAGCTTTTATTCCTCTGAAAAGTTCAAACGATCGGATCGGACCGAAGTTTTTAAAAAAATTTAATCATAAGTAAAATTGAGTAAATTTTGCTGTGGGAAATAGAAATTCAAGTAAGAAGTACAAAACTCCAACGAAATGCATTTTTTAGTGAAGTTAACTACTACACTGATTTACCGAGCTTTCGATCTGTTTATTCTTCGGTCACTTTCAAGGCGAATGACAAAAAGAAAAAACGTGTACAGTATAAGAAGAAACAGAACGAACTAAATAAAATAAAATAAAATCTTTGGACTTGCAAATCTAATCATAAGTACATTTTTCAAACAATACCCATATCGTGGATTTTTTAATACTTGCGTAATTTTGCACTTTTGCGCCCGCAATTATGAGCGCAGGATTACAATTATAATTCAGTAGCGCATCTCCGCTGTCACGAACGCAACTGTGCGCGTTTGTGCTGTCGCGATCACAATGATCGCAATTACGCACAATTGTGCGCAATTCGTCTGCATTGTGCAACACAATGCGATCACATTACACCACAACTTTACCACAATCGAAAACATGGATACTTTCTTTCTAACTTGCAGCAAAAAAACTCATAGAATTCCCAGATGTTTGACTGAAAAACGTCATTAGTCAGAAAAGACAAACAAAACACTTTTGGAACATTCACAGTATCTATGAGAAAAACACTACACGGTAAAATCGGATGATTGGCGTATTAAAAACGCGTTTCCATGACAGTTTCTCATTTGGAAAAAATTGTGCCGCATTTTTGACCTTTTAGAGATGTCTTAATAAATGTACTTAGGACAAAGGACTTCGCTTGCGTGTTTAAGGTAGTACTTGTCTTTTTTACTTGTAACTTTCTTCACTTGTAATTATTGTTTGTAAAATAACTGTACAAATGCTTTAACGAAGGAATGAAACCAAGTATTGCAACGTTGGAGAAGTACTTTTATTATTTCATAGCAAGTAAGCAATTTTGAAAATATTTGCCAATTTTTCCAAGTACTGATCAAACAATCAAGTACTTCTGCTAGGGTACTCTGCTACTGCGAGTTGAGATCATGTCACTATATTAGTAAAAAAACACTGTAACTTTCTGAATGGCCAAAACATTAACAATTAAGAATGGTTCGCAGATGACGTACACAAGCAGAAATGTGTATAACTGCCGCTTCTCTTATGAGAAAACAACGAACATATCGCATTTGCACATTAGTGGTGTGTACATATTCCTTTCTTGATCGTGTTTTTAGTGAAGGGAGAAACCAATTGTTTCAGAATTTGTGGATGTGTATGGATGTCACTGTTATCATCAAGTCTTGATGTATTGAAAAACAGTTTAGATACTAGCAATGATACAATGTAATTATGATCTTTTATCTGCTTAATAATAGTCTTTTTTAAAACTGAAAACTGAGAGATGAGTAAAGAAAAGAAAACTCATTAAACACCAGAGAGCAAAGATCGAAACATATTCCCAAGTCAAAGATTCACGACCGCATACTATAGTATTTCGTCGTATTTTAGCGTAAACCTGGCCAATGTATTACGTCCATCGTAAACGACGTCGTTTACGTTGAAATACGACGAAATACGCCGGTCGTAACGGCTGACGTAATACGGTGGCCGAGTTTACGTCAAAATACGACGAAATACTATAGTATACGTCAAATTACGACGACGTAATTTGACGGATACGACGGTCGTAATCATGGACCGGGGTTTAGATCCGCCAAAATGTTAACGATTCGAACTGTATTCATGAACTTGTATTTAATATAAGATAGAAATACTGCTGATCATAGTATATTCCAACTTCCGATAAAAAGTGAAGACGTTTTTAGTTCATTGATGTTACCCATTTGAGATATAGAACAGTATAACAACCATTGATAACATTAGCACTGTCCGGTGATCATTCATATTTTATTTCAGATATGAGTATCATGGTGAGCACAAAAATTGCTCAAAATCGAATGCCAGAGTTCGTCATGAGAGCTTTTTTCAATTCTTTTTGTAACTTTTTAAATTAACTTGTACATTTTTCAAATTTTAAAATAGACAAGGTTTGCAAACGTTTGGTGGAGAAATGTGGATTTGATCTTGAGAATGGGTTTTGGGGGCCAAAAGTGTGCTTTTTCGAGATCTTGCATGCAGTGTTTCACCTCGGGGAAGCAGCGGAAATATGAGTGTAGAAGTTGCTTATCATGTTTTTTTCTATGGGATAATACTTTGCTGTAGCTAATTTTCTGAATATCAATCTCTAAATTAAAAATACTGAGACGCTGCACAGCGGAGAAAAGGCGCTAAAATTTTGACGATTTCTCTGAAGAAAGTGCCCAGAAAATCTGAAACGCATAGAACATATACACTTTCACGTACGGAATCGAATGGAAATGTCAAAAATCGCAAAAAAATAAAGATGTTTAGGGCTGTTTTTTCAGAGCTCCTCGATTAAAAATTCCGCAAAGCGAAAAAGTCTTTGGAACATATACTTTGAAATGCGTAAAAAAAAACGGGTGAGGGGTCTCCTCTCTTAATACAAACAAACAGAAGACATGAACGAGGGTATGAATCATATTTATTATGGATGAACAAATAATTTAAGAAAGAAAATAGTATCACATCAACGTGAAGAAAAAGAAAAGTTCATTTAGAGTTGTGGAAAAGTACTTTTCAGTATTCAGCACACTCGACAATCCAGAATGTTTTCCATTTTTGGCGAGGGGTACTGTCAAAAGTTTAGAAAAAATGTTTCGAACAGAATGGCGAAAAAAAAAATTACTATGGGAAAATAATATTGATTGATTTGGTTTATTCGAAGAACAAGACTTGCAAATATAATACTTGGAAATATTTCGCTTGTATAAATGTCTAGAGTTTATTTTTTCTTGAATGATCAGTGATAAAAAGCGCTTAAAAGGAAACAAATTACAATGAAGATAAATGTCATTTTGTCGATGTGTCGTCCGTTGATGCTCGCAATCGCAGGCCAAAATCGATGATGAACGGGCAGCAGCTGCCCACAATCGGCAATTCGGCTGGCCACACGAGCTTCATGTCAGTGACAATGTCATACGCCAACTGGTGGCAATTACACGTGGCAGACCATTGTGGAGTGCAGTTGTTTCGCATCACCATTCGTCTGTAACATCGGAGCGCAAGAGTATCAAGATGTAGACGAGCGGTGTTCACAGGTAACGAATCGTATAGCAATGACGGCAGAACCATGTATTTACCGACAGAAAAATAC